ATAATTTATTAAATCTGTACCACAGAAGTCCACTAACGCAAGTCCATTTTTTGAAATTTTGAGTTAGTTATGTAATCAGAATATGCTTTTTGTGTTCTTTTTAAAGGTATCAAAACATAAGTCCTATATACAATAAATGCATAGATAGCAAGAAGTATATTAACGTAAGTCCTAAACTATGATAGGAGTATAGAAACGTATGTCCAGTTACATAAGAAAAGTAATAAAAAATAATATTCTTGAAGTATACAATTGTAAGTCCATTGCAACAAATATTTTTGTTTTGTCTCTCCTGTAAAATTAACTTTTTGTGACTTGCATTACTCGACCTCTGTGGTACAGAAATATACTTGCACATACAATTATGATATTGGGGGGAGGGTTTATAGGGTCACGGTCATATAAATTTATATCACTATCACTATCAGCTCAGACTCGCCACTCTCCCAATTATAAAAATTTTTTTTTGAAAATATTTAGCATGTATTTGCATGCTTACCTACTTTTGTAATTTGTATGCGTTTTAATAATTAAGAGTGGTATCAAAAAATAGGTGGGGGAGTGTTGTCTTTATGTGTATCTCAACCCCCCCTTCATTCATCAACATCACTTATTTTCAAATGTTTTCTCTAGGTCAATATTATGTAATTAGAATTTATATGCACGGTTGGTCCCGCTACTCTATCGTCACCCGTTGGTTCGCAAAATCCGTTTTCATATTTCGCATGTGTCACCAGGCCCACCTCCTTCCTACGTGATGATGGCAATAATGGGGACAATACCTGTGCCAAGATACATTTCCCCAGCTCCCCCACAATTTCGAATTTCAATTTTTTTGTTTTACCATTCGCTTGTAGCCGGTTTGTATTGGTTTGTAATATAATTTTTTTTTTAATCAGTATTTTTGGGGTTGGGGAAATGTACCTCACTTTGTTTAATCCGTTCAAACCTACGTCAATATTTAGCAATGAACTAAATTATAAAATATGTAAAAGTAGAAAAATAGTTATATAAAATAAACGAATAGTCCTGCAAATATGTGCTAATTACATTGTAAATATTTTCCAAAAAAAAAAAAAAAATGAAAATTGAAATGTGGGGCGGTTGTTACACGTACGTTTTAACAACTGATAGGTAAGCAGAAGAGGTACCAAATCGCGGATATTGTTATTATTTTTTTTTAAATTCCCAATTATTTTGTTTTATTATTGAATTATCGGGCGCACACTAGTTGCCTCCCGAAGTCAAAAAAGTCAATAATTTTTATACGAATTGCCTCCCGAGTGTATACGACTTGCATCCCGACATACTTTATCGTATTTTATTGCAAACGAAAAGGGTCTAGTACTAGTTGTCTCCTAATAGTCAGTTAATAAATATATATGTGGTTCCAAACATTTTGAAACATCATGACGTATCAAAATAAGTTCGTAATTTCAAAGACGTAATTTATGACATTTGTTATATTTGATATTTGATACGATTATATATTTATATACGACTAAACATTAAGATTATATACTCTTTTATATAATTATAATATATAATACAAAGTAGACATAAGCAACACGATTAGTAAAAAGGGCAAATGTGTTAAAATAATTAAATTAATTTAATTTTTATATTCAAAAACGTTTAAAAATAATTATATAACTAGTAGAAATGTTATAATATAATTTTAAATATATATATATATATATATTTTAAATTTTAATTATACAATCAATTAAGTATATTATGTTAATTTTATAAATTCATCTATTTATGTGGAATTTTTTAGTGAAGTTTATGATCCACTACTTAAGTCTATACAAGAGACAACTAGTGTAAAAATTCTTGGTAGGGAACTCGTTTATAATTATGAACTACATGTTCATCAAAAGGCAACTAGTTAGTAACCTTTTAATTTACGATAAGGATGGGAGGCAATTCGCATATTTTGGGAGGCAAATAGCATGCACCAGAATTATCTTAGTCTATATTATTTTATACTAGCTGACACGGCAATGTTTGCTATTCCTAGGTTTTTGTGATTCTTCAACTCCTTTTGTGTGTAACACGCTGTGGAAGCAATGTCTTTTCAAGTGTAAATTATATTATTATATTTTAATTTATAGCCATCCCGACCGGACGTGTCTATGAGATTTGCTTGTAATTATGCGAGCAGTCTATTATCAACTCAGAAGAATAAAAAAATGTAAAAAAAATTGGTACACTGAAACCGTGGTTTAAACATGATACATCTTGTACTAAAATACACAGGCTTATCGAATTAATAATTACTATTATTATTAAAACCAATAACAACCATTTATATAAAAAAATAAAAAATAAAAATAATAATCTCAAAATTTCTGTTTGAAAACCTCTTTTGGGTTGGACCACTTTTTAACCTTTTTTAGCGACCAAAAGTAGCTTATTATCTTCCTAAGGTCTAATCTATTTCTGTACCAAATTTAATCGTAATCGTATGAACGGTTTAGGAATGCATAAAAGACATAGGTAGGTAGGTAGGTAGGTAGGTAGGTAGGTAGGTAGAAACTATTTTTGGATGTACGCTCATATCTCGAAAAGTACTCAACGAATTTTAGTACAGTTTTCACTAATAGATTGGCTGAGTCTCGGAAAAAGGTTTTAATGTAATACGTTTTAGAAAAATGAATTAGATTGCCATAAATAATGCAAATGTAAAAAATAATCTATATAAATAAAAAGGGACTCTGCTGTACAGTAGGTTACAAGTGGCTCATTGTATAATGGATGGTATTAAATTTGAATTCAATGATATACTACCATTGTATAAGAAAAACTATTCTGAGCGGAGACGATATGTCAGTCTAGGTATAAGACATATTATATACTTATCTATGGTATTAAAAAAATTGACCTATAATAAATTCCAAATTAATCATATCACAATATCCATTAGATACTTATAACGCATTATACATCATTTAGTATATAATAGTATACTTTGTCCAATTAACAATTTTATGGAAAACAAAATTGGAAAATTCGGGAAAACTGAAAGTACATTTATGCCTGACTGACTGATTAATGTAGAGTCTTAACTATAATAGCTGAAGACTTGACATTTTCATGGTACCTTCGTTACCACTGTGTATGGGTGCACTAAAAAAGGATTTTTAAAAATTGGCATTTTAAAGAGATCCTCGTACAAGAATTTTAAGAATTTCGATGGAAATCGACATTTTATTTTTGTTTATAAATTGTTGCCATGGTGTCTCGTGCAGATGAGGTGCATCAAATAGATGAATTATATCTTAAACAAATATGATTGTTGAATGTATATTTCCTTATATAGGTAGGTACTCAAAAACTACTTGACCGATTTTGTGAAAATTTCATATTTTTTTAGAGATATCAGGAAAATTTAGACTGTTAAGAGAGTAGTTAGAATTTATTACCTCGTTCGTTTATATCAAGTGATGTATGATTACATATCCAATCCGTCACTGAACTGAATTGTATGATTCGAATTAAGAACTCTAAAACGCAGATTATTAACACTAAAACCAACATACCTATATAGCGCTATTTTTTATATTTTTTCTCAGGCTTGGAATCTGGTTATACTGCTAAAAATGAATGTTAGATTATAGAAATTCAATAACTCAAAAACTTTACTGGACCGTTTTCAATAAAAATTATAATTTATAGGTAGAGATTCCTTGAGTCTTGGAGGGTGTTTAATGTTTATATTATCTTATTTTTACAACCTCTATCTTCTTCTCTACAAAAGGCCTTGCCTTGTTGTTGAAAATCTAGTTCTTCGTTTTTCTTTGTTAAAAGCCAGTCTTTTCATGTCTATATATATTGACTTTAGTCAGCTTGCCTTGTAATTTCTTATATATATGGCTTCCTCGGTCTACCTCTACTTGTGTGTCTATTTATTCGTCCTTCAAATTTATTTGTTATAAACGAAGTATGCCTAAGTAGGTGTCCGAACATTTTTTCACTTCTTTCTTTTATTGTGTTTAACAGAATTTTTTTTGCGCCTACTTTTTTTAATATATCTACGTTACTTTTTCTTTCTGTTTAGCTGACTTTTAACCCCTACAGGTAGTTAAATAATACAGCTTAAAAAAAATTGATTTTGTTTGTTTAAGTACTATTGGTTGCATAAACTACTATTATAATTAGTAGATGTATTTATTTTATATTTGAAATGTCATTAACGACGAACCCACTAACATAAAAGCGTACTAGTCCTCCAACTTAGCCAGACCATCCCTGCAAATATGAAAAATGGCTCCTACGTCTGCAGAGATATCTCGTTAAGTCTTAAGCTAAACAGTACCTACAAATTATAATACTGATCCGTTTTATAGATATCAATATCGTCATATAGGAACACAAAAAAGGCCTGTTATTTAATATTTTATATACATAAGGATAAGGATGTTTTGTGCACAAAATACAAGTTTTCATCTTTCCACTCGAACCCAAAGTTAATATTATATAGCAACTATAATCCATATGTGTAGAAAGTGATTAGGAAAGTGAAATAAATAAACGAGATTATACGCTATAATTATCGTCGAGAGCGCAACATAAGTGTGATTGTAATGTCTCCGGATAATAACAATTAATTTAATTATATTATAATCATAAAAGACACGATGTAAGTGTTATTCGACGATGTCAACGAAATTACGTCATCACGCTTGGGGCTCGTGTCAAAGGGAATTTTATAATGCATTCGTAATCTGGTGGACAGCTATGACGCTCAATAGGTGGTAAGCTCACTGATCAGTCTCTCTCGATTTACCGTTTTGTTGAGTCAGCGGTATATATTAACCATAGGTTCGTTTTGTTTTACAGACTGTGCCTTGAATATAACCACAGAAAAGCTGCACAGTAGAAATACAGCTCCAGCTAGTACAGTGATCGTATAATAAAGTCTATAGTCGCTCTACCTAATTACGGAGTTAAGGTACTCATTTCGTGAAAAGAAGCAAACCGTTTAAATCGCAATTATGGTGAGTTATAATTTTGTTTATTCATTTATTATTATTATAATGTTATGATTTATGTTATCATCGTGGTTGCCTTCATGTGGACAAATATAAATTGAGGCTTGAGTCTAATACATTTCAGGTGCACATTTTTTGTAATAATTTTCGCCCAATACTTTTCTGGTATACATTTTTATGTTGTCAGTTTCACCCGGTAAGTTTTAGGAATATAGTTCTATGCTGTTAAAATGTTGGTTAAAATCGAGGTTAAAATTAAATATTTAATAAAAAATTGAAAAAATTACTTTTTAATTAATTAATATTATGTTTGGATATATCTGTAGGAACTGAGTTATTACAATTTTTGGTACTCGTGTAACATACTACCTACCGTAAAATGTTACCAAAAAATTGTACGCCTGTATTTTATCTTCCGAAATACGGCTAATAATTAATTACAATTTATTTAACTAAAACTTACTTAATGTATTGCTCATGATCATCCTTGCCAAGTATTTTTAAATGTTATACCACATATGTGGTTTTTATGTCATCCCAGATAAAGTAAGTTATCGTTGTCTTGGCGTACATCTCAACTATATATATAATATAAATTATATAGGTATATGTCAACTAAAGTCATTAGTACTTTCCCGTTATAAAATTAAATACAAATATATATAACTTTTATAAGAATATTAGTTGGTATATCATATTTCCCGTTAAGTAGGTAATAATTTACCAGTATGTAACAATTTACCAGTAGGTAGCATATTATACGAGTATTTTTTTTATTTGGTAGTTAATAATAATAATATAAGTTATATAGTATTATAGTAATACGACATCATTACCTACCTTATGATCGTATAATATTACGATTATCAGAGGAGAAAATGATATATTTCGTTATTTATTTTCAGTACTTTGTCCGTAGGTTATTAATTATTATTTACTAATTTTTCGACGCAATTTTGTGTCCTGAAATGCAAAAAAAGTATTTTTATTATAAACCTTATTGCTGTGTATATCTAACTTTCTAAGTCACCACTTTTACCCAGTAATTTAGGCATTTTAGCATATTAGCTTAGAGAAACTATCACTAACTTTTTGAATGGTTCGAGTTTTGTTTTTACAAGAATACAAGACTAATATTATAATTTTAAGTAAACTCTTATCACTGAAAAATATCTAATTTCTTACTTTTTTAATAATTACTCATTTTTTGCTTTATATTCTGAAGTGGACAAAAACTAGTTTTTATCAATAACAATTTAGTATCAAAAATGAATGTCATAATTTATAAGGGGGTTTAAGTTAAAATGTCTTATGAAATTCATAAAAATTACGAAATTTTGCTAATTATTCATACAATTTTAAAGTTTATCACTTAAGAATGGACAATTTAATTAAAGACCCTTCATAAGTTGTATTATTGGAAATGAACAAAAAAAAATTTGCATAAAGCCTTAACAATTTTTTTGAGCAATCAAAGTTAACATTTAGATATATTATATAAGATATTAACATAATATAATAACGATTTATCTTCAAGCAATTTATGGTATTTTGTTGTAATTGAAAACATTTTTGTATTGGATGCTTGAAGTATTACACTAGTATCACTTAAATTAACATTTTCTGTGTACAATTATATGTTCAAAATATTTAGACTAATTTTAAGCTAATTATTTATAGGTTTTGGAAATTGTTAATAACTTGTATAAAATATTATATTAACTTATACTTATACTGTCTTGAAAATAAATTAATAACATGGTTGTTGTTCGTATTTTAGGGTTCGGAAGGCACAGAACCGGTACTCCAGTCGTTCCTATTGGCCGAAAAGTCCAAGATGAAAAAAATACCTCGAAACTTGTGAGTTATTTTAATTATTTTTATTATTTACAAGTTCCTTTTCTCAAATTGTGTGTATATAGATACTTAAATTGGTGGTTATTAATTTACATTTATAGCTAGATAATAATATAATTCAATAGTTGATATATTATTAATTATCGGACGTAATGAGGATAAAATATATAAATTGTGTAGGTTAATCTAGATCGTGTAGGTATCTATGCTTGGCATTTTGGTTTTAATTATGATTAGTTAGATTATTATTTTTTATCATATTCAATACAAGTCTTAGTGGATTAAAAAGGAATAAAGTGTAGCATTTATAGCTTTTAGTTATTTATTCACATATTTATTCATCAACAATTAAAAGGTATTTTACTAAAAATGTGTTATTTCTACCCTACGAAAACAAAGATCAAAGAATTATCTTATAAGTCATTATATCATCTAATTTTATATTTTTATTTTCACTTTGTGTTTTTATTCAATTCAGACAAAAACCTAACAACAATTTAGAAAAGGGCGAAGACGCACACCTCAATGGCATTGACTATTTCGATCCATTCATTGAGAGAAACTTGGAATACCCAACCACGTGAGTATAGTACCTATCTACCTACCTACTTATTCTCATTACTCTTTAGATGCAATGCTAATCGTCTAATTTAATGTATAACATTATTATTATTATTATTATTATTATTATTGATAAGTATAGTTACTATTGATTTACTCAATGATTATAACTATTTTATAAATTCAATAACTGCAGAAATGGGCAAGGTACTTAAAAAAAAAAGTATATAGAAACAAGATTTAATCATTAGATATATCAACTTTAACTTCTAGTCTCTAGATACAAAATACATTTAAAATTTTCCCAAAGATACTAAAGATACTTTTTTTTTGTCTTTAGTTAGGTATAAGATACTAGATAATAAATACTGTATCTAAAATAATTCAGGATACATTTCATCAAACGATAATTATATTATTTAATTTTGTTTTTAATTGGATAACTATCTAGCATTACAAAGTCTTGTTATCTTAAAATTGAAAAAAGTATAAATCTTCTTTTGTATCTAGAAACTTAACTAAAGAAAAAAGATAAAATATATACAAAAAAGTATATAAATATAAGATACAAATGTCTTAACCTATCTAGGGAACTGCTGGCCCATCCTTGTGTAGGGTAGGTACCTGTACATATATGAATAATTTAACACTATTACATACTAATTATTTCAATTTTTGCAGCAACGGTGAGACCCTGACTCATTTACTGAAAGCTTGTCTAGGAACTGGCATCCTGGCCATGCCGCTAGCTTTTCAGTGTTCAGGAGTTATAAGTGGCATATTTGCAACAGTGTTTGTATCGTTGGTATGCACGTATTGCTCGTATTTACTGGTTAGTATAGTTGCATGTTTAAAATATTTGCCCTTTTTATAAGGGCATTATGAATATTTTTAAATAAAATACTTAGTTTTTATACATATGTTAGGTTTTATCCACCTAATTAGCAATTTAACTATTTAATATATACTAAAGAAGGTACTTAACATTATGTATTTATGTATAATAGTGATATTTATATAAATACATTTAAGTCTAATCTTTAATGCAGTGGATATCCTCAAGACTTAGTTGGATTGCATCTTCGATGACAACTTATAACGCACATTTAGAAAAGTTGGAAATGATGTGTTTGATTGTTTATAATGCTGCCCCAAAGTGACACATAGGTGATTCAGCAAGTTCCCATTAATGAAGCAACTATAGTGACATCATCCGTGGGGCATTCTAATTCTATTTAATGCGAACCGCTCTCACACTGCAGGGGATGTTTTGAATGATTATGATTCTGTATGGTCATCTATGAAATGATAGCTAATATAGGTGAATTAGACTTATTTTAGTTAAATTTCCAAGAATCTACTGCTAGGAAATTATGTCCCCTTAATTACCAATTGTCTTTAAGAAAAAAAATTCTAATTGTGGTTCTGCTACGGAACTAAAATATTGTTTAGTGTTTAGTACACGTATTATACATGTTACTCTCGTCCTTTTACAGGTCAAATGTGCTCACACGCTTTACAGGCGGACAAAAGTGTCATACATGAGCTATGCAGATGTGGCTGAAGTGGCTTTCGCCAACGGACCCCAATGGTCTCGAAAGTTCTCGTCGCTAACCCGACAGTCTGTGCTTTGGCTGCTGTTCGTCACATACTTTGGAACTTGCAGCGTGTACACTGTGATCATCGCCTCTAACTTTGAACAGCTGTTTACACATCACATGGGTTATGAGCTGAACCTCCGGTACTTTATTTTGATTCTGCTCATACCTCTTATACTGCTCAGCTACGTGCCCAATCTCAAGTACTTGGCACCCGTGTCTATGGTAGCCAACCTGTTGATGGCCACCGGTTTGGGCATCACATTTTACTATACGCTGTGTGAAGTACCCAACATTTCAAAAAGGCCAGCTATGGGGACACTTGAAACGTTCCCAACATACTTCTGTCTCACTGTATTTGCCATGGAAGCTATTGGAGTGGTATGTTATGCGTTATTGAAAAGTTAGACTTTTGGTCGATCGTTTCTTAACGTGTTCTTTTTCATTAAAAACGTCCCATATTTTTAATTTTAATAATTGAGGTATTGCACCGAACATGAAAGGTATTATATTATAATTTATAAATTATGGGTGTATAGACGAGGTCAATTGGTTGACAATGTATCCTATGGGCTACTTCATTCCCAATAAATTAAACTAAGAGAGAATTAAAAATTAAAAATATTACATCATATGGATTTACTTAATAATTAAATTTTTTGTTTACAAAAACACGAAATTGAAGTGATGAAAAAATCATCTTGCCAATATTATCATAAATATATTTTTAATAATCTAATATATTCATACCTATAAGTTACCTTCTAAGTATACACAGTTTACTGCTTTGAAGTATTTTTTTGTGCATTTGATTCGACAAAATCACAATTATATCCCCGTCATTATGCTAACTAAACTTAGAATCTCTTATGGTTTTTTTCTTTTGGTTTTCATGTCTTATTTTTACTTATTGTAGGTCATGCCATTGGAGAACAACATGAAAACGCCCAGGGACTTTTTGGGACTGTTTGGCGTACTGAATGTTGGCATGGGCGGTGTGACTATTGTGTACATTCTGCTTGGTTTTTTCGGTTACTTGAAATATGGTGAAACAACGAAATCAAGTATAACATTAAACCTACCCACCGAAGACGTGTGAGTGTAACATACAGCACCTAACTATCCTGTCTAACCTGTATATGTATAATTTTTTTCCCTGTAACTCAACTAGATTTACAGTAATGTAACTTCCAACATCTAATTCAATACTTCCCCTCCCCCCCCCTCGTCCCAATATATTTATTTAAAATGTTGTCAAAGCCAAAAGCTTGTTGCATACAAATTTATACATTTATCCCCAAAACCAATATGATGCCACATCATTACATCAATGCCCCTCACTTTAAAAACTTGTACTGTTAACTGTGTCGAATGACTATGCATCATTTATGCTGAAATCTGTCAAAATCTGAATACACATATTTATAATTATATGAAAACTGTCAATTTTGTTAATTAGGAACATATAAATGTGTGCGGATGAGATTCCAAGCTGCAGACTGTGCAGTGTTGTGCTGTACCTTGTGCTTGAAACAACATTTTTTTAATATATATATTTGATGACAATTGACAATACAGTTTGTTAAGATCCAGTTTGTGCACTGAATTATCAGTTATTATATATACTTTGCGACGAGCGCGTAGTAACTTTAACATTTTAATATTTGTGTTTACTTTTATAGTAAACTTAATTTATACCTTTACGTTTATTTGTTTACAGTGCCGCACAAGTGGCTAAAATATGCATCAGCTTAGCCGTGTTCTGCACATACGGACTACAATTTTTTGTTTGCTTGGAAATTACGTGGACCAAAATCAAGGAAAACTTTGAAAAAGCCACAGTCTATCACAACTACATCTTGAGAACGGTTTTGGTGTCCTTTTCTGGTATATAACACTACCGTAGATTGTATTATGTTCAAATTTGGACAAAATTGCATATTAAAAAACCTAGAATAATTATTTTAGTTATTTTGTTGTGATTGTATAATATTATTCGTGGGTACTTGAAACTTCTTAAGTATACTACTCTATACCAATGATAGTATCACGGTTTGTTATAAGTACCTAATGGATATTGTGATATGATTAATTTGGAATTTATTATAGTTAAATTTTTTTTTTAATACTATAGATAAGTATATAATATGTCTTATACCTAGACTGACATACCGTCACCGCTCAGAATCCTTTTTCTTATACAATGATATTATATCATTGAATTCAAATTTAATACCATCCATTATACAGTGACCCACTTATAACCTACTGTACAGCAGAGCACCTTTTTTCTTGTATTCCTTTAAAGGAAAATGTGATTTTAAATTTTGAATACTTAAAACTTTAAATTTCCCTATATTGTGTCATTCTTCATTTTCCCACACTAAAACTCAATTTTACATTCTAAAATCCAATATTCTACACTTGAGTAAATAAAATAAAATGCTTAATAAATAATAATATATTATTATATTAATATTTTTTTGAACTATTATAACTTGTAACTATTGTCATTCAAAATGTACCTAACTAGGAATTAGGAATCTTTACACCCTAGTCTGCAACGATAAGTTCATAATATGTTATAATTGATATTTTTATAATAATAATAATGATAATATGTTTGTATGATTGTGGTTTCCCAGTGGCAATCGCGGTGGCCGTACCAACAATTGGACCATTCATTGGGCTCATCGGAGCCTTCTGTTTCTCGCTTCTCGGCATAATTATGCCCGTGCTGATAGAGTTCACCACATATTGGGACAACGTAACTGTTTGGATGACCGTCCGAAATGCAGTGCTGATCGTCGTTGGCTTAATGGCACTGATCTTTGGCACGATCAACAGCATAACCGATATAATTACTGCATACGAGCCCAACGCCACTTGGGCTGTTCATTCAACAATTAACTCCACACTAATTCATTTAACCACCCAATGACCGGAAATCCGGTTACATTATAATATTCTTAAGTGTAGTGCCAGGTGTTCTTTGACAGAACCTGCCAATTAAATATATCCCCTATTATTATTTTATCATTAAGATAAATGTTTAGTTTGTTTTTCATCTTAATAGTTTTTATACAAAAAATCATAAAAATATTATCTTATATTACCTTATAAAAATTAAAATTACTGTAAGAAATTATTTTTTTGTATTCATTAAAACATCGCCATAACAGACCCATACAGTGGTGTGGCAAACTAAAAATTTTCCAGAGGCAAGTTACAAATATCCCAAGTATTAATGCATAATAATGTATTAAATATTAATAAAATGTAACTATAATTATATTTCAGATCGTTATGAACTACCTATTGAGTATATTATCATATTACCTTCAATTACTTGGGGACCCACCGGCTACCATCCACCTCTCTATTTAAGAAAAATCTCAGAGGCCATTGCCTCTGAAATTTCTGTTCACCACGCCACTGGACCCATACAAGACAGAAATCTCCTTACAACAAAAAATAACAACAATACCACATTTTCTATATCCCATACATTTTAGTCTCCCTATAATAGAAAAATCAGTGTATGCCAGTGATTCCGTTTTAAGGAGATTATATTATTGTATTGTAAAAAAAATTGAAATATTAATCGAATCAAACTATCATAGACATAATATAGAATCGTGGAATGGTGCTATATGAAATAATTTTTATTAATAATGTATTTTGTTGTACCTAAATTATATTTATATTAAAAATGTATTTTACTATGATGTATTAATTTTACAATGATGTGGGTTTTTTTAAACTAATCATCAGTTTGCAACTGGTAATTCGTTTCAGCAGCCTTACAGGTTTTTTAAAAATACCTACCTGCGAATCTACATATTATGCAAACGAGTACCATATTTCCAGGAAAATGTTTTGAATACCATACCTACGCAAACTAGTATGGCCGCTTTTTTATTTACCAACCCCAACTCAGATGATAATAATCAGGTGCGGATCAAGAAATTAAAAGGGTCTAAATGCCGAATTGAAAATAGTTGTAAAAGTGAGTTAGGTACTACCTTATTCGTTGGGCTTGCCGATTTGTGCTTTGCGATCTTTTTGTTCAAACCGACCGCTACGACTAGGCCAATTAAGGACTATATCAGTGGCGCGACTAGGGGTTAAAATGTTGGTGGAGGGGCTGTGGCCACCACCTGATATTAATCGAAAAATTCCCGGCGATGTCCCCACACCACCATATATATTTACTTCACAATTTAAAAAAAAATCATACAAAATAACCAAATATTTATTTACTCAAGTTTAATTTTTCACAATTATAATATACTGTCTGTGGTAATCAGAATAAAAATCCCCAGAATACAATATTAGTTTATCTACTCACAACCATATTAAAATGATTGAGTAAATATTTTTTAAAACTTAATAGTGTAATTACAACATTATTATTTAATTAAAAATATACAAGGGAAAAAAATTACTATACTATTATAGTTAAACAAATTATAGTAGATATAACTATTTAATAGGTAAAATAACTAAAATGATTTACTCATTATGACTATATAAATATTGTTATTTGTTATGGTAATGTATACAATATTTTTATAGTTAACGGAGTTTTTAATGTTTGAATTAACTAAAAAATATAGTTAAAATGGCATATTTTAGTACGAATAACTATAATAACTTGACTATTACGTATTACCTATAATATATTTTAGTAAATCTGACTAACCTTATAACTATCCCTAAAGCAATTGTAATGTACAGTCTATCCTACTATTTTTATAGTACAAACAACTGTATTGATTTTTCAGTGTATACTTATACAATAGGTAGCTAAATATATATATTATAAATTGTTAAAAAAAATTAAAAATCAAGTAGGTAGGTAGTAAAGACGTAAAGTAACATTAAATTAAAAACAAATCTATGTTCAAAGTTTAAAATATATAGGTAGCTACCATTATATACAATTTAACTTATTTTTTAATATTTATTATAATTTTCAAATAATAATATATTTCTGTTTTATATTATATTATTATATATCCCCGAAATAAAATGTTACATTTCCTAATAATATTTTAATGATTATGTAAATACTCGGTTTTTCCGGGGGTTTTTCTTCCGCAATTCACTATGTTCAGTGCATGGACTGTAAAATTATGTTTAATAATCTTACCAATAAACCGAGATAAATTGTTTCCTTAAAACAAATACATATGCTAATGGTATTTACCATATTTTATCGTAGTCAATATAAAATGATTATATTATAGTTCAAATACAAAGTAGATAATTTAATTTTTTTCCAAAAAAAAAAAATAATAAGGAATTAAGTTGAATTTTTAAAGGTTTATTAATATTGTAGGAAACAATTGAATAATTTATTTTGGTGGCTGTTACAAGTTTTAAGAGGCTAAGCATCTCTTCAGCTTCTCCATAGTAGGGTTTATGGATCAAATAAATAATCACGATTACTAATCACTCTAAAATGTCAATAATAGGAATATAATATAATATGTTTTAAGCATAATATTAGCATAAACTGATTATTAATTTAATCTAAGAAATATTTTAAGTAACCTATGCCTAAGGGGGGCTTCAGCTCCCATAGCCCCCCCCCCTAGTATCCATGACTGGTCATAATATAATACCATACAATTATACAATTTATGGACACCAGAAGACCTCAAGTTTAATTAGTGCAGTAAATAGTTAAGGTAGGTCCCACGTTTTATCTGCAGTGTCAGAAAGGTCACTTCATAGTTCGGCGTCTGACGTCGTCGTACTCTTCCACGGTTTGACACTGCAAAGAAACCGTACCTTTAGGATTAAACTGTTAAAAATGTCCTTAAATAAATAAATACCCCTCCCAAAAAACTTCAATACATTCATGATCACTTGATTTTATACTATTTTTGAATATATATTGAGTAATGTATTATTATACCTATATAATAATATTGTAATATTATATACCTACCTTTAAGACTTCTTTGGTTAGATTTTTGTATGCGATATAATAATGTAAATCAGTTTTATAATAATATTATTAGGTGAAAAATCTCTAACACAGAACGCGACAGTAGTATTAAAATCATATGATTATATGAAGAGGACAGACTTAATATAGGTAGTCGGTCATTTACGAAAAAACAGAATTTAAATAATTATAACAGTAAAATACAAATTGCAAGCAGTATACTAAACACAATTAATAAGAAAACATGAACAAATTTAAGAGTGATCCTTTTTAGATATTTAGTTTTGAAAACCCTAGAGAAACCTTTCCGCTGCATATTAGGATTTGAATGTAGGTACCTTTTCTTTGAGGGCGCTGTAATGGATAATATGTTAAACTTGAATTCAATAATAAAGACAGGGCTTTGCACCCGAATGATTTATCCGGGTTTTGGGTACTGTCGGGGGTTCAAACATCAGAATAAAAAATTCAAACAAACTTTTAGGTTTAAATAATCGTTGTTATTGAGGTTAATATTAGTAAATACTAGTGTTTAGTAGTTCAGAAAAAACTATATATAAATGAGGCAAAATAGTTTAAAAATGACATCATGTCCATATAGTAAATGCTAATTAAATTCCAAATCTTTACTGTTATTAATTTTTGAATTAAAACAAAAAATAAAATAAAATCTATTTCGTAGCTTATAGTTAACATTCTTTTTTACGTAAAAATGCATATTTTTCTTTTTTTTCTTGTTTTACTGATTATTTTGATAAGTTTAATGAGTTTTTTCTTTTGACTAATTATAAAAAAGAATCTATATACATTTTTGTTTGTAGAACTTGAATTTATAGGACTGTATCCATTATAGTATTATGGTTGTGGAATGGGGAGGGGATGGGGTGTACGCGCGTCACGAGAAAGAGAGTAGACGCTCGTTTGATAGGAGCGTGTGTTGTAGGAAGGGGCTTATCCGGACGGTCCGAAATCCTGACGCCGTCGAGCCGTCCGTGAGTTGTACGATGCAGCCAGTCGAACACTCGCGCGACACCCCGAACGGCGTTACAAAGTTTTTACTCTATATTCACGTCCAATATACACCATTAATATTGGTAAGTAAGTAGGTATAACATTGTTATAAAATATATTGAAACAGTTCTGATCTACAGAAATGGATGTTAGCCTGCAGTTGCTATGGGTATTCCGGACAGTGGTGGTGTCCCTGTTACTGCAGTGCACGGTGGGCACTCACTACCGTCTGCTAGTGTTGCACACCAACGACATGCACTCTCGATTTGATCAGATTGACGAGACAGGTGCAAAATGCGTCATGGCCGGCCAGCAGTGTTACGGTGGTTTTGCGCGAGTCAAGGCGGCCGTCGACCGGGAGCGCCGTCGTGCAGACACTGGCGCAGTGGACGGCACGCTGTTCCTCAACGCCGGCGACACGTTCCAGGGGACAGCGTTCTACACGTTACTCAAGTGGCGGGCCGTCGAGCGGATGGTCCGGAAACTCGGCATCGACGTCATGGTGAGTTTGCGATCGCATTGGTGGTAAAACGTATACATTTAGAGGAATGAGAACTATAAGTACTTTTTAAAAAGTGCTTGAAGTATCTGTATTTAAAATCTAATACGTATTCCTTTTAGTTAACCTATATATTACTTTAGATTTTATTTTATTAAAATAAGTTTTTATTTTTTTACTGTAAATTATACTGAACCAAAAATTCTAATACTTCGACAAAAAAATCGGAAGTATATTTTTAGAGGTACACCAAATGATAAGGTGTAATATATTCTATAAAACTAAAGGACAATCGGTTCTGTTGATGTATAAGGTAAAAAAATGTATCTACAAAAAAATTGAAAGTATCTATAAATACTTTTAAAGTATAAATATAAATATATAAGTATAAATACTTTTAAAGTATTTATATTTATATTCAAACATCATTTTTTACTGAATATTCAAATAACTTAAATACTTTTCAAAATAGGTGTATGTCAGGGCTTGCAAACGTTATAATAACGTTCTTCTACAACACTGATGAGAGGAATATACTTCCCTCTTTAACCTTTTTTACAATATTTATGTTATTATTACCTTAAACTATATTTGTAATGATCAAATAGTGCATGTTAAAAAACCAACCATACCCTCCCCATAATTATGACAAAATACATTACTGCTACTGTTGCAAACATCAAGTTCTGCGAGTATTCGCAAGGCCCACCAAAAACCACTCGATTACCACAAGCGATAAGAATTCTGAAAATAAATTTGTATTTGTCGTCATGTCTACTTGAAATTGACTTTCCCACATTTTTGATTTTAACTTCTCCAAAAATTAAAATACTATAATTTTAGATTCTGAGTGGAACGAGAAAGCTAGTGGTTTTACAATGGTGTTTATTTTTTATATCCTGTATACAAAATTTCTACCAGAAGGAGTGCTTCAATTTGAACATATAGTACCTTATACTTTAGGGGCCACTGTATCCGCCTTTGAGTAGAACTCGTTCCATTTTGGTTCTAGAGTAAAAAAAATATCTGTTATAAAATTAAATTGTGACAATATTTCTGAGGGCAAGTCGTTGAGTTTTTTTAAAAAAATTTAAATTTTGAAAAGTTAACAATATTGGTTACAATAGACAAAACTCAACGACTTTCCTTCAGAAATATTGTCACAATTAAATTTTAGTATAGGTATTTTTGCCCTAGAACCAAAATTCAACGAGTTCTACTCAGACTACGTAAATGCGTTTTGTTTATGTCGTACGTGTAAGACGGAGACAGCACATGACGTCTTCTTATCAGAGTTGAGATGTTTAAAACATTTTTCTAAATTGATCAAATATGGTTTTGTTTAAAACGTTTAAAACAAATGATTTAAACAACATAAAAAAAAACAGTTTAAAACAGAAAATCATCATTTATGTGCATATAACTTATTATTTGTAAGTTCATACTGGCAACTCCTATTTATTATTATTTATTATTTCATAAACAAATTTAAAATGTATAACATTTATAATGATAATTTTACTTATTTAAATTACTAACACTTCAATGGTTATATAATATATTACTTCTGTAGTTCTGTAGGTAATATATTTATTAATTATTTATTTATTTGTTCAAATTACATACCAATAAATAACATAACAATTACTAATTAGTAATTAGTAATTAGTTGTATTCCAACATAAAAAAAAAAATATATATAAATTAATATCAACTTGATAGGTAACATAATATTTAAATATCACAATTGTCTTAATAGTTAATTGCATATCTTAGTCCGTGGCACAAATCTACCAAAATTGAAAATAGTAAATACAGTAATCAGTATTCTTTATCACGATGTAGATAACAGATCAGTTCTTTATCATCAATCATTATCAAAATATTCAAAAACGATTTTTAAGTGTAAAACCGATAGCCGTGGTTAAATTACACGTCAAACTATAAAAAAATTATGATATTAAATTATTAAATAAATGATTTTTTTTTAAAATAAATTACATATTTTGTTTTAAACTCGATTAAATCATGTTTTAAACGATTAAAACAATTTTTTTGATTTTTTTAAAAAAATCATGTTTTTAATCAACTCTGCTTCTTATACAGTATTATTATTGACTCACGACTGTTAATATATTGTTTACATATTTTATCGTTTATCGGACATAAATCGTACTCATCGTTGGTCTGCTAATATTCCGGCATAGGTACTATGATTTTTTTAAATACTCTTGTATGAAATCACAGTTTTAAAGATTTGGGGGATAATATCAAACCTGTGGGAAAGTGGATTTCAACTAAACTTGACGACAAATACAAATCGGTTTCCAGAATTCTTATCGCTTCAATAGATCAATTGGAATGTTTGGAAAAGAACCAGTCTAAAATTATATGTCCCGTGTGTGTTAGACAAAAACAGAAAATCATGATATTGAATCCTCTTAATGAAAATTATAGTATGCCTAGTAGGTTAGGTAATAATCATTAAAATTAAATTTGTTATAATTAGGTAGAAATAAAACGTTTGTCATGAGCAAGTCAACCTTGAACTTCTCAGTCTAGTGAGTGACATATTATAATACTATGCTAGTATTGACTTTTAAAAATAATTATCGAAAAACACATTACTTTTTATTACCTAATGTGCAACTTAGGAATGTTCCTAATTAAATATAATATTATATTATAACTCAACAATTTTGTAGACTATTTAAAAACAATATGATTATTAATTAATTACAATTTCTAATAGTATACATTTTAATAGGTAGTATATTATTGTTAATGTACATAAATTGTGCTCATAATATATGTTATAGTGTTTAGGAAATCATGAATTCGACGACGGTGTCGAAGACGTTGCAATGTACATTCGAAACATAACCATTCCAGTAGTAGCTAGTAATCTCGATCTAACAAACGAACCATTATTGGCTGACGAACCAAACTTGATGAAATCAAAAGTTCTGACGGTGAACGGTCGAAAAATTGGAATCATCGGATACTTGACACCGGAGACAGCGGTGAGTATTACACATACACATTACTCAGTGCTGTTTTGGAGGGTTTAGTACCTTAGCATTAAAAAAAAATTCACTGCATGTGTTTTCATAATAAGTAATCTCTATTTATTTATTGTCATATATTATGACATTTATCAATTATCTATGAACCGAGTAAAAATTAATTAAGATTAATTATTACCACCAATTAGTCAACCATTGTTCGTGAGCAAATAAGTAATAAAAATTGCCTTTTTATGTAGTGAAATATAATTATTATGCCACAGACTATAGAGTTAATCGTTAATGTGAAATATTCTTATCAGGTATCAGAAAAATCGTTTTGTTTTACCAAATAATGTTAGTTTTTTTTCGTTGGACGTTAGGTGTGACTGTGCAAGCTTAACATTTTACAAGTTCAAACTTGATAGCAAAAAAATTATCATAAATAAAAATGCACGAAACTGGATAACAAAAAGAAATTTATTTTTGTAAAGTTCGCAACTTTTTGAATTAATCTCGTAGAATTGGTTTTACGGGCAAAGCAAACGGTATTTTGAAGGGTTGAATCTATTAGTTTTGTGTTTATAAACAACCCACAGGATATATTCTAATTTATGAATTTAAGGCTAAAGACTCAATATGCATTGCCTTAAATTCATAAATTAGAATATATCCTGTGGGTTGTTTTTAACGAAAATACCATTACCATTACTCATACACCTATAACTACTTATATAGTTTTAATTTATATATTATAAAAATATTATACGGGGTGCCGCCACTAGGTGACTTCCCCCTCCTGTTAACCAAAAATCATCACATTTACTTATTGTATCACATGTAAATACAGATTGTAAATATATTATGTTTGTTCAATAAAAAAAAAAAAAAAAAAAAATATTATATATACCGTCTATGATGTGTATTTTTGGTAAACAATTATTTTTGTAGACCATATAATTATGCCAGGCTGATTCTTTTATTTCTAAACGATTATTTAATGATAAATTCATGTTATCTTGAAAATATTTTTTAAAAAAAACTAAATAATTAAAATAATAATTTGAAGTTATAACAAATAGTGGTGCAATAATGGGGACTAGGGGGCATTGTCCTCTCTCCCGACTACGATTTTGCCCCCTCCCCCCCCAAAAAAAATATTCCTTATTGCTTTTAGATATAGGCACCCTATGGGTTATTTTAAGTTAGTAGTTTTGTTAGGAGAGCTGTAACCTTCACAAAATGTTTAACCTAGTTGCGCCTATATGCGTACTTATAATCTGGCCTTGGGGATAAATAGTGATGTCTATTAATGCATACGTATTATCTACGAAATTTGATTCTGATCGAAGATGGTCTGTCAAGATATTTTACTATATATTCATTTTGATACAGTAGGTAAGTAGATTATTAATATTTCTTATGTCGAACGTCGATACCTCGAAACTTTAGTTCGGTACTACTTGATATTTTTAAAGTACGTATATTAATATAATTATTATATTGTATAGTTATATACATATAAAAATACACAATGCAATTTTAAAATGCAATTTTTTTAGCTAGCCTACTAATACTATTGCCTTAAAGTAAAATAAATTACTTTAATAACAAAAATATCATAATATATACTTAGTTATATTATAGAATATAGGCTGACAGACCTGTATGTAATATTTCAATATTTGGTTTTAATACATATTATGTGCAGTATCGTACTATTTTTGGGTGAAATTTTAGGTTATGCATTTTGTGCAGTGTTGGGTGATATTTGTACTGTAGAAATAGAAAGCACCGACTTACCGACATCATACATATATATATAATATCATACATCGTACCTGCATCAATATACATGTTCTTGAAAGAATTATACACTTTTTTTCGTTTTGATGTAAGAATAAAATACACTTTTAATTATTTTATTCTGATAAAATCATTATTTATTATAGTCTTTGCGTTGGGAAATATCTGTAATAGAATAACTGTGGCAGGAATCGAGTCGAGTGTTTTTGTATCCGATTTTTCCGAAAAAAGTGGCTCGATGGTGCCGGACACCACCCCTCCGCCAGAATTCTCCTCCATCTCCTCAACGACTAATACAAATCTATTTATTATAACAATTTTGAAGATTGACTAGAAACAATAGTCTTCGGCGATGGTAATAGATGTTCACGACTCTGTTGGAAATCCTATGGACGCGTTCGCCGCCTACCTTCTTTTCCTCCGGCTGCCGATGCGACGACGACGGCCCCTCGTGGCTTCCGTGAATTCGACGGGGTGGACGGCAAACCCCCGAGATTTTGCCTTTGTACGATCACGCTCATATCATCTTCGTCCGCAACGCTCAGGGGACGGCGACGCCGCCGACTACTCCTCCGATGGCTTCTACTCCTTGACGACGACCGTCTGCCCTTCCGGCTTCTACTCCTCCTACCCCTTCTCCGACGGCCAGATGCGTCGCGGGTTTCTTCGCTGTCGTCGTATTCGGCCTGTTCCTGGCCGGTATAATCCGAATCGCTGTCCTGCTCGTCTTCGTCACCACCCACCCGTCTCCGCCCTGACCGTGACCTCCTGGATGACCGTCCCCTTCGTCTGCGGCTACTGGACCTACGTCTTGATCTGCGACCTCGAGACGATCGACGGCCGCGTCTCATATCGACGATGCCACCGACGCCACTGGTTGATGGACCGGTGCCTAACCCGTCTGTCGGGTTTTCAACGGCGTTGGGACGACCGGCTTCGCGACCAATTCCATCTGATAACGTAGAACACTTGTTTCTCGACATAATAGTTATAATATATAGATAATTGAATTATACTTTAAAATATTTAAAACCGGTAGAATTACCAATGTTACACAATTATAGTATCTCCGAGTCCAATAAAAAACACTTAGGTATTAAATCTGTCAATACAACGTTAATAAACAACGTATCTATCCGTATCGATACAATTTATCTAAGCCTAACACGGTCGTGTTTTGCTTTTGGCTAGCAACACTAAAATTACCTATTTTTATACTATTCCTTGTACCTATTGTATTAATAATAAACTAAAAAATGGAACTTAAATCTCTCTACGAAAGAATCATGATTATATTTTGGATTTTTTCTATTAACCTAATTAATACCTTGGTACCTACTACCTAGTGACGTAGTAGATACGTCAGGTACGAGTGAGTCGAACACGTGCATGAGGCATAAGTAGGTACATATATACAATACTCGTAGCTTATTTGGTTAAAACCACTATATATTATAAATGCATGAATATAAAATCTTCTGCCTACTTATATAAGATGAATTATAAATTTTAGGTTGTAGATACCTATATATTGATCATATATAGGTTTAGATACCTATATATTGATCATATATAGGTTTAGATACCTATATATTGATCATATTTTTAATCTGTTATTAAGAGGATTGGAAGCGGTGATTTTCTGGCTTTGTCTAACACACGTGGAACAAAAGAATTCAGATGTATTTTAATTCCAACGTACCGATTGTTCAAGTGAGACGATAAGAATTCTAAAACAGATTTGAATTTGTCGTCAAGTCTACTTGAGATCAACTTTCCCCGATTCTTATTTTTTGATTTTATAAACTTCAAATATTTAAATATTTCATTTCCTATTTTAGTATCATTTTTTTTTAGAATTTAGAGGGATAAAATCAAAAATGTGGGAAAGTTGGTCTCAGGTAGACATGACGACTAATTCAAATATCTAGTTTTTATAATTCTTATCGCTTCACTAGATCAATCGGAACGTTGAAACTTAAACTCGTCTTAATGCCTACGATCCACGTGTGTTAGACGAAGATAGAAAATCACCGCTTCCAATTAAATGACAACAACTGATTTAGTAGTACGCCTAACGATAATAACGTAGACGGGATAATAAATCTGACGACGCTAGTTAGACTCCGATGACCAGTTAGTTGTTTGGCTTCGGTAAATGCGATGTACCTATTCAATAAGTACCTAGTTATATAACATTATTATTATAGTTGCATAAAATTAAAACTGTAAAAATTTGTAAAATATTGGTATTAATTAATAGTTCTAAAATACTATAAAAAACGATGTGGATTATAAATTTAAATAAATGTCAATATTGTCACCAGTGAAAGGAAGCGTAATATTATTCTTGTGTATTAAAAACGTATTATAAAATGTCATGAAAATACTGCAAACAGTGAGACTATAATATGCTGTCTACAGGAAATCCCAATACAGCAGTAGGTATCTAATAATGATGTATTGATGCAACTTTCTGTCGACTGTATCAGCTGTGGCTGTATCATCAGACTCTAATCCCACGGTTCAAAATAAATTACACGTTTTATTTTTTTGAAATATATAAATATTATAGAAGCTATGTTAAATGTGTCATAGTATAGGAAAATAATTTTCTTTAGCTCTAGCTTAAAATTTGAACCGATATATAAATATAATATGAAACTATATCATATTCATTTATTTATCATCCGTGGTTCTGTATTGCAGACATAGGCCAAAGCCCACAAGTGTCTTAGCGGTGGTAGGAAACAAGAAACATTGAGAGCCCCTGGTTTCAACAATTGGTACCATCAGCCACTGAGATAGTTGGAGTTAGTTTAGTTAGATAGTTCGCTTTTCCTGAGCTCGTATGCGACTATAGACTCGATGCATTGGCTTCGAGGACTGAGAAGTGTGGTCGTGCCAAGCGTTAACTTGAGTTTTACCATAAGAGTGAGAGAAATAATATTGATTCGACTTTTAAGCAATATGCTATAGCAGAATAAAATATTAAAAAATATCGTTGTAAGGGGTTGTGGGGGAGGTGGAGAGTATATGGAAAGAAGTAAGATTTTAATGTGAGTGAATACAGGAGGAAAAACGAAAGTACCTATAGGGAATAAGACATTTTTGTGATAACATAAAGTGCATATTATACATAAGTTATGGTGCATATTGGAATGTGTCTCGTGTCAGTGTCAGAATTTAAGGCAAATGTTAAGGTGTACCTATATTTTATATTATTTTTCAGCCGTATTTCCTCTGAGTATTTTATTAACGTATGCAACATATATTATAGTTATATGTTTATGTATTAGGTGCATATACAACAATGTCTAAATATGAAGTTGGTTTCAAATATCATTGTTCACTGTTCTTGTATCGTTCTCTGGTTTATGTCTAAATAGTGGTTATTTCACCTGTAGTTAATTCTAAGCTATTAAGAATAACCGACATATTCCAGTATTTCCGTGTTATTTGGTTTAATAATTCTTCATTGTGTTGAAGGACAGCAGAGATTTGGGTGTGGTGTTTTAGAGTAGGTTTGTCATGTGTCTGATTCAATGGCTGATACTACAAAGTGTTTTTTAGTGTTATACATATTTCCAATTACTTGTGGGAACTTATTGTTCATTATTTTCGTTTTTATGTTTATAATGTTTATTGTTTTTTGAAAGTGATTTGATATTTATTAGGGATAATCTATTTAATTTTAATAGTTGCTAAGAACTCATTAGTCATTTCTCAGTATTATTGTCTGGATAGATACCTACATAAATATTCGGCACTAGTTGAGTCTGTTTTTACTTCGATGTTTAAGTTTTTATTTTAGTTATGCTATTATTTATTGTAAATTGATTTATCTATTTTCTGTATCTATCTTTTTATGTGAATCAGGTCAGTTTTAAACTTTTATTTATTGCTATTTGTGAGTAATGATTTTTGTTTGATGGTATATTGAAGGGTTATGTGAATGCATTTAAACTATTTATTGGATGTTTTATTTTGTTAGATTTTTAAATATTTAAAATGTTTTTTCAGTATGAAGTATTAATTGCATATTAATTTCAACATGCATTCCAAGATGGTCTGGTTGAATTTTTGTTATTGGTCGTATTGTATTTTATTTTTGACATAGTTATACTAATTTTTTAACTGTACTTATTGTTTTAATTATGTGGTTGTGAATAATTGTTTAAGTTATTATTATACCTACGTATTGGTTTTAATTAGGTTGACTGAGTATTTATTATAATTTTTACGGTGTTAATATTTTTTTGTATGTTAGAAATTGTTTGATATATTTTAGATACCTAGGTTGAATTTGTTAATTTGGTATGATTGATTATACTAAAAATGTTTATCATTTTGAAAGTTTGGATACGTCTGTTTTTTAAAAATATCAATTAACTATTTTGTATTTTTTTTTTTGTGGTGAATTATTTTTTGTTTTATAATTTTGTCAAGTGGTAAAGTGCATACAATATATTGTGATATCGATGGAAAATGTCTAGTGTCTGAAACACTATTTGAGGCCAGTGTAAGTCATGATTGGCCCACCGGGATACCGGGAATGTTCATGGTGGAAAAATCCTAGTATTAAAACTCTGGGCCTATGCATGTACTTTGATTACAAGCTATTTGATAATATTGAACTGCATGTCGATCAGGATTTTGGATGTAATTTCATATCACTTTTTTTGCACATCTTTATAAAATTTGTTTTAATATTTTATATTCTGAGCAAAGCGATGAATGTGTTGATTGTATAATAATGTGTGTTCTTTTAAAAATTAATATTATGACTGTCGTCACTTTTTGACAGTGTTTGGAAAGAACGTCGTTAATGAAAGCTCGTTCATAATTAGTAAACGATACGTGAATGTGGCTCGTTATTTTAAAGTGAACGTGAACGACACTTTTTATATTCAATGAATTTGAACGATTTTTAAGTCGTGTTAAAATGTATTTATTGTTTAATAAATATTAATTGATAATACTATTATAATAAACTACGAATTATAAAAATAAAATACATGAAATTCCAGTTGGCATTCCTGGACATAAATAACATTAAAATTATGAATTCCACGATTTTGTATTCATATTTAAACGATACATAAAAATAAAATAAAATAAAATAAATGAACTACGGAATGAACGCATTCATATTTTCAAAGAATGTGAACTTGAATGTGTTAATTTGAAAAAAATAATTTGAACTTGAACGAGTTCCTTTTTTAAGCACTCAACGTAGATGTGAACGAATTCATTTTTTTAGCGAACATTCCGAACACTGCTTTTTGAGGCAGTAAAAATGCACTGATTTTTCCATTTCAGAATCTTGTTGGTACCTAGGTACCTAAGTGAATCTAGTTGATCTTAAAAAAATCTTATTAAATTATAAATAAGACAATATTCCTAAAAAATAAAAAGGTTTTTATGGAAAATTATTATTAATTGCTATTATATTATATTGGTGGACCTGTCACATTGTAATTTCCCGGGCCAAAATGTTTAGTCAATCCGTCACTGGTCGTTATGATGTATATTTTATATTATTGTTCAGTAGTATTTGTTTTTTAGCTGCTCTATGTATTTTATTAAAGTGCACAAGGTATAGTTATACGTTAATTATATGTTACAATATATAAACAGTTCTCACTGTCGTCATTTTCAGTGGTTAAACATTGGTTACATGGCGAAAAAAAATAATATCTTATCTATCATATTGTTTTGTATTATGATGAATACGAATTTTACGTATTAGTCTAAAAGAAATAAAAATGTTCATATCTATATATTTTTGTATATTTGTACGTTTGAATTCGTTCTTCAAATGTCCAACGAATTTTTGAACATTAAACATTAACGAACAAGAAAATTCTCAGCAGGACGCTCGATTAAAACTTATATTTTGATTTCATATATTTTTAGGTTATGACACGAGTGGGCAAGGTGAAAATATTGCCGGAAATTCCATCGATTGCGACAGAGGCGAAACGCCTGAAAAACGACGGAGTTGACATTCTCATTGCGCTGGGACATTCTGGTGTAGAAATGGATACGCAGATAGCCAGAGATGTTGAGGACATTGATTTGGTGATTGGTGGACATTCACATACATTTTTATACACAGGTTAATATATATAATATTTATTGTGGTGTTATTTGGATGATATATTATATATTATATATGATACAATTTTTTTCTTATGAATAAACAGCCACTAGGATAATATCGACCATACCCTTCCCTCTATTTTTCCTATCTGATATTTATTTTGTACCCTGCAGTTTTAAATTTTGTTCTAACTTTTTCTTAACGGCTATGCCTGAAATCCATAAGTAATTACAGGTCATATTAATGAAAATTATAATTATATTTTCAAATCCATTAACAGTTATCATGAATTACTTATGTATTTTTCAAATCACCACTGTCTTCCATTCTTTTTGTATTATTTTTTTTTTTTGCCCAGACCTCCCGAATTATTTTTCATAACAATAGTCATTTCTTCTTTTCCTATCATTAGGAGTCCAGATTAAATATCATATTACCAGGGAGATTTACTTTTTTTTTATTTAACTACAATTGAATTTCATCTTGAATCGATTCTCCACAATTATTTTATTCTTCTCTGGTTCCTGAATAAAAGATTCTGTCTGGTTTTTCGCAGTACAAAAACTTTTCAAAGTAATCATCCCACTTCTTAGCTAACTCCACTTGTAGATATTATTGAGTTATCGTTATTCCTTAGAAACCTTTCTCTCTTTTTTTTATATTTGTCTCTGAGGTAAATTTGCTTGTACATATCCCTAGGTCTGTGTGCTTTATAAGACAGTTCTGCAGTTAATATTGTTAAATTTTACTATTAAATATATATGTTTTTTGTTTTGTTTTAATGTTATCAATAAATAACTTTATGAAATGGTTTTTTTTTATTTTAAAAATAACTTTTGTAAATTATGGTACACGTTACCGAAATTTATCATAAATTACATTGAAAACCCACACTAAAATGTTTATACAATATTTTATAATAGGGCTATTAATTAAATATACAAATTCTATTACTTGGGAGTCTTGACAGTATCTACCCCGTCAGTGTAATACCATCATCCTTGTAGCCAGACTGAAATTATATAACACCTTATAATATATAATGTATAGTGAAATATTTATGATATCATACAGGCGTATAAATTAGGTACTTACATAGGCTATTATAATATGTTGTCCATAAAAATGATAATATTATAAAAGTCTGTTATATTCTTTTGAAGGAAATCCACCTGACATTGATAAGCCCTTTGGTCCATATCCTCTTTTGGTGGAACAACCGAACACCAAAAGAAAGGTGCCTGTCATCCATGCATATTACGTTACCAAATACTTGGGTCAATTGTGGTTGGATTTCGATGAAGCCGGAGAAGTAGTCAAAAGTTATGGAAACCCGATTTTATTAGATTCCAGTGTCGGACAAGGTATACATAATAATTTATATAATGTCACTAAATATTTTAGACTTATATGGCTTATGGTATTAAAAGCGAGATTGGCACTAAAAAGTTCTAAACATTTTCAAAATTAATCTTAACCTACCCTAGTGGCTAGTAGTACTTTATGGATAAGGTTGAACTCTTGATGGAAAAAAATATATAAATACAATAAAAATATACTGATAAAACCCAATATTTTCGAGTATTGTATTTTGAACATTTTGTGAAGCTTACCTATATATGTTGTTAAATCTTGGTCTAGAATAAAAGCATTATATCAGCTATGGTATTAATACGCAAGCACATTTTTATTAAATCAAATACATTTTTGCCTAAAACATTGTATTTGTAAATGTCTCCGTGCTTACAAAATATAATTATATAGATTTATTCATGGTTTCCAATTTACACAAAAAATATTTTTAAGTTACAACTAAATAAAGTTATTCTACTTTTAAATATTTAATTTCGTCCAAAAATTAATTTGAAATGCCTATAAAATAAATGGTGATTATATATTTTTTTCGATTTTTCGATTACTTTTGGGGAACACTATATTACATTTTCAATTCTTAACTATAAAAAAGTGGGAAAGTGGGTATAGCTCAGTATAGGTACAGTATAGGTACAAGTAGGTCACTGTAATGGACGGTATTAAGTTTGAATTAAATTATGTAATATCATTGTCTAAGAAAAATGATTCTTAGCGGAGACGGTTTGTCATAATAACTAAGTATAATAATATTTTATGATATAATTGTAAATAAAGTAATTTATATATAAGTACCTATATTACATATATAAGTGGAACCTTGCTTTAAATTTTCAATCCTTAGCTACAAAAGTTGAACATTTTATAAACATTTTATTAATGTTCAACTACAAAATAGATTTTAAATTATAAATTTGATAATTGTTGTCAAAATTTGAAATTTAAATGCTTGTAAAAAAAAATGTTACTGTGTACTTTGAATATTTTTTAACTACTACAGTAACATTATATCTGGTAGACATTTTTATTTTTGGTGAAAATAGACAAACTTCTAAGGAAGCTTGTAAAATATTTTAAAATCTTAGTTTTTAAGTGAAAAATTGTTATGTATTTCTAACTCAAAATAATTTGCACATTTTCATGATTATTTTGTTAAGATTTGAACTTTAAATACTTGTCAAAAAAAATTGTGACTATGTTAATATTTTTCAACTGTCAGTGTAAAAATATATTAGGAGCCTTGTATTTAATTTTAAAGATTTTTGACAAAACGAATGAAATTTAATTGACATTTATAGAAAAAAAACCTAAAAAAAATTGGAAACTGAAATAAATGCCCGTAAATAGCTCAAAATATAAATATAATATATTTTGTATATTTTATCGTGTTTAGCAAATGCTAATATAAATATTCAGTGGAAATGTCATGTGTCTACGATCATTACTCATTTGTTTATAGTTAGGCCAAAAACCATAAATATTCCCGTTTTTCCTTAATTTTTTTTTTTGTTTTTCCACTTTTGAAAACAATTAGGAATTTTTACTTTTACTTTTACTACTAACCTACCTAACAAAAACTCAAAATATTTAAAAAAAAAAAAAAAAACGTATTCATGTACCAACAAATAAAGCTAATAACTTGATTTCACGTATCTACGATTACATCTTGAGTTACACAAAAAAACTGTGTACATTTCCCGGCTATTGATAAAACTTCTAGGAGATTTTGGCTTTTGAGTTTTCCCTCCACAATGTACCAACTAAATCTAATTTGCTACCAAACCTCGCCAAAAGTTCTTCAAGTTGATGGTCTGAGGAGTTTTTCATTTAGAAAAAATACTTTCCAATAATCTTAATTTATACTTAAATTGAGATTTTACTCCACCACTATAATTTCCGATGGTCAAATGTGTGTCAATCAAGTTGGCATCGGCACTCAATTGCGAGTTGCGATAACCTCAGAATGAACATTTACATAATGTATTTTGCTACAGATTAGCTACTATTTTCGATACATGACAGAAAATAATTTGTCAATGTTATCTTGACGTTGCACAGACACATTGTTCAAATTCTCAAAATGAGTACCCAACTTGACAGACATAACTTTCTTAAACATTCTTATTATGGTTGTACAAAAGTAAGATAATGCATTCATCAATATATTGTATTTTTATAGATCCAGAACTATTGAACGAAGTAAAAATCATGAGCAAAGTGATCGAGGCCAAGACTAAACAAGTGATTGGTTCAACAAGAGTATTCTTAGAAGGAATCGATGAATATTGTAGATTCAGAGAATGTAACCTGGGAAATTTCGTAACTGACTCTTTTGTAGATTACGTGAGTATTAAAATACTAACAAATATTAAAAACAATAACAAAAAAATTCAAAAAAATGGATCTTGTACAGAATATTAGAAACAATATTAAATCGTACGGTTTGACCAAATACTGGACCGACGCACCTATAGCATTGTTACAAGCTGGAGGGATACGGACAAACATGAATAATGTAAATAAAATAGGTAAGCTATAAATAGAAACAAAATGGAAGTATTTAAGTTAAAATGCATTTTTGAATGATCATAATATTTAATATGATCGTTATTTGTATTTTAGGTAACATCACTTTTGGTGATTTACTGTCATCTCTTCCATTTCAGGATGATATAGGGAAAATTACGACTAAGGGTTCAGATATTTGGTCAGCTTTTGAGTATTCCGTTCGACGGTACAGTAAAACGGTTGCCAACGGAGAATTTCTTCAAGTTTCAGGTAAACAAACAAAATAGCTGAAAAAATCTTATTCATCTTCTATTTTAAAATGCATACAGTCTGAGAATACGATTTGTTCGTTATGAATGATAATATGTCAATAGATACACTGTGATAATATTGTTGTTGTAGAATAATATTCTGCATTATTTACAATAAAATTAAAATTATTCCTTAGTAATCTGTCCACTATAACACTCATTTTATAATTCATCCAACAGGATTGAATGTCGTAATAGATCTTGGTCGGCCCAGTGGAGATCGAGTGCAATCCATTTACGCTAGGTGTGGAAATTGCGCCGTACCAGTGTACGAGAAATTGGATTTAAACGCCAATTACACAATAATTATCAGTAATTATCTCTCAGAAGGCGGCGATGGTTTTTCGTTCAAAAAAGTGTTAAAATACCAAAGTTTTGGTGAGTGTGAAGCAAATATCTTATTTAAAAAACAGTTCATCATTATTTTTATTATATATTATATGTGCTTATAAAATCAGGAAAAACGGATTTGAGTATCGTGGAAGAACAGTTACAGGCAAGGTCTCCAGTATGGCCAGAAGTTAGTCAACGGATAGTGCTGCTTAGCGTGGAAGAGATGAATAAGGTTCAGACAGCTAGCACTAATAGCCAATTAATTTTCACATCCTTATCGAACTTTATAATATTTCTGTTGGTGATCGTTATCATGTTGTATCTGCCCGATCAGGGGCTTGCTAACGGGGGGGATATGAGAGTAACATGACTCCCACTTACGCTTATTTTTGTCTCTTGATTTTTATCTACACAGAATAAACTGTAAATTTAATAATTATTAAAATAAATATTCACGTTTTCGATATTTTTGTACCTAAGGAGTTTTAAATATTTCATATAAGTTAATTGATAATAATAAAATATTGTGCTGTATACTTATTTTATTTTATTTCTATTACTATTCATAGTATGAAATTCGTTAATGTAAAAGTGTGAGTAAAATGTTTTAGTATTGGATTTCATTTGAGTATTCAATGCAAAAAACATAAGTAAAATTTATTAATTTAAAATTGCAAGTGTAAAAATATGAGTAAAATTATATTTTAAACATATAAGTAAAATTATAGTGTAATAAAGCAAGTAATATCTATTTTTTAAGTAAAAAGAAATGTGTTTGACGTGTCAACGCTCCGATTTTCTCTATTTTTATTTTTTTTATTTTTTTGAATATATAAAGAATTTATATAATAAAATAAACACAAGTAAAAGTATACTGAAAAACAATTTTGTTTAGCTACCTTCTTTGAGCAAGCGAGTTATTTTCTTAGAGATTACACAGTTTGTACTAGGTGTACAAATTACAATAATTATTATAACAATAAATTAATTTAATTAACTAAATTAACGCTTATTTTTGTCTCTTGATTTTTTAACTACACAGAATAAACTGTAAATTTAACTATTAAAATAAATATTCACGTTTTCGATATTTTTGTACCTAAGGAGTTTTAAATATTTCATATAAGTTAATTGATAATAATAAAATATTGTGCTGTATACTTATTTTATTTTGTTATTATTATTTTTATAGATTAGTCATTTTGACATATTTATATTATTCACATTTTTAATTACATTTTTTAATTTTTGATAATGTAGGTACTTAATATAATTATATAATTTATAAATATATTGTATCACCATGTAATGTTTGGTTGTTATGCCTAACCAGTAAATTAAAAAAAAACTTTGATTATTTTTACTGGTTAAAATATACTATATTTTATAATATTTTTAATTGACTTTTTAAATTATATATTTCAATAATTGAAATTATACATACCTTATAAGTATATAATTTATATTTACAATATATACTTTATGTATATTATTATAATACAAAGTGTCCCTGATCTGAAATGAAAATTTTTATCTGACAGTACAAGTCATGTTAGGTATGTATTTTAAACATTAGACAGTGCAAAATTACCGTTTACCGAAACTTGTGTCCAGCAATAATTTTTCTTCTGATTTCAAGGTTAGTTAATTAAAACATTTGTAAACCAGTGTGTATAACTGTATAAGTATACCTAGTATACTATAGTATAGTATAAAGTATACCTAGTTGGCTAGTTATGTGGAATTCGGAAGATGAGTATTATTGTTAGAACATAACTTGCTTAAGAAAAACAAATTTTCCTTAACCTTTCGTTTTTCTGAGTCTTTTTTGAGTTTCTGACTTTATCACAGACTCGTATTCTAAAATCAATCGTACTAGTGAGGTTAGGTAAATAATTTAAACATTTTTAGAAAATTGTTTGGTGTATTCGCCTATGGGGCGATTGTATCCCAAAGAAAAAAAAATGCTCAAAAAATCCATTGTAAGCTCGGTCTGGATTTTTTTTCAGGTGAAAATGATTGACGTTTGAATTCGGTCATGTTTTTTTATAGGTAATAATTATTGACGTGTAAACTCAGCCCGAAAAATAAAATATTCCAAGATCTTCTTATATCTAATTAATAATTTTCTTATAATATTTTTGAGAACCATTTATCATAACCCTATGAGGACACCACGAGGAGGCAATTCTCATTATTCTCCAAAAATTGTTTTGTTTTATTTTAATTTTTCTATTACTATTCATAGTATGAAATTCGTTAATGTAAAAGTGTGAGTAAAATGTTTTAGTATTTGATTTCATTTGAGTATTCAATGCAAAAAACATAAGTAAAATTTATTAATTTAAAATTGCAAGTGTAAAAATATGAGTAAAATTATAGTGTAAACATATAAGTAAAATTATAGTGTAATAAAGCAAGTAATATCTTTTTTTTAAGTAAAAAGAAATGTGTTTGACGTGTCAAACATGTCCGATTTTCTCTATTTTTATATATTTTTTTTTGAATATATAAAGAATTTATTTAATAAAATAAACACAAGTACAAGTATACTGAAAAACAATTTTGTTTAGCTACCTTCTTTAAGCAAGCGAGTTATTTTCTTAGAGATTACACAGTAGGTACTAGGTATATACAAATTACAATAATTATTATAACAATAAATTAACAAAATGGCAGAATAGAAATAATGACAATGATATAAGCTAGGTACCAAAGTTAACAATTTAGTTATAAAAACATTTGATAAAGATTTATTTATATGAATATTATTATTTATTCTAAGATACCTCTTAAATTACTATTATTGAAATAAGTAGGTCCTAAATAGCCCACAAATTTCTGTCCAATACTTTTTTTAGTATCTTATAGATTCGCGTTTACTTATATTCTGATCAAATTTAACGTGATTTTTAAGGTAAATGATAGAGAATATTTTTGATACAGGAAATTTAAAGGAAGTACACTCAGTTCTTTATAATCATCATTATATCATTATATCGATTCTTAAACATAAGAATCAAAAATTAGATTTTGTATTGTAATTTGTAGACTGTAGTTGCTCATATTTTGAGACTTTTATCTTTTAATTTTTGTGTTATTCTTTATAATTTGCACCCTTATTTCTTTTAAAATCAGAATTTTGCACTAAAGGTAAGAAAATAAGAACCCCTCCTTCCTAACCTAAATTTCTTTAGCAATAGGTGTATTTGAAAAAACACACGATAGTGAAACTAATGCATTCTTCGCCCACACTCATAATCTGAAAGATATACATACTAGGTAGGTATACATAAAATGCCAGTATGCCACATACCTATGTATAAGAATATTAAATATGATCAAATTTAATATGTTTACCCCGATCTTTTACATTAAAGGTATCAATAATATCATCATAATCTAACTTCTTTGTTAAACATGATTCTATGCTTAAAAAAGGCAAATAATTTAGTCTATCATCTGTAGTTCTTGATCTCAAATAGGACTTGACCCTTTTCAATACTGAAAAAGATCTCTCAGCTGAACAGTGAAATATAGGACAAGAAAGAAAAATTCTTAACGCAATTTCTATATAATATATACAAATCTTTATAGTTATTATTTATGATCAGAGAGTACATTTTAATTCCAGTATTAGGTAAATCATCACTTGGTAATGTTAACAAAAAACTTTTAAAATTTACCACAACTAAAAATCTTCTGACCGGGGCCCAAGCCCCCCCCTAAATACATCTCTGCTTGTAAGTTTATTAAAAATTTTAGTCTGATAGATGCTCTAACATTAATAATGTTTGTATGTACATATATTTTTACAGTAAGAGTCAAAATTAAGTTATTATTAAGATTGGCTTATGTGGGGACGTGGGTTATATATGTTATGCCTTTGAAAATATTTCGATACCACAGGTACTTATCATAAGATATAAAAAAGAAAATCGTGTGATGTTTATCAACCCCCCCCCCCCCCCCAAAAAAAAAATCAAACCCTACCGAAATGCCATTGGTACACGCATATCCATACGTCAATGTTTTACCTATAGTTCTATAGGCTATATTTGGATTTATTCTATACTAATAAAGTAGGTACCGTAAAATGTACTGTAAAATTAGGTAATAAATTATAATTTAATATTCGGCTATTTTTGTAATTTTGTTTTCAACAGTATAATATTGTTTAGAAATACATCTTGGGAGGCGGCCCCTAGTCAACCTTGAGCCACCCCTGAGTTCACTTGTATTATATTTTACTAATTTGAAGGAAGCTATTTTGTAAATAGTTCTTAAACAGGATATTCGGTAGGTACTTATCCATAATTATATCCCATTAATATAGAATGTATGTATTGTTGGTTTACTTATAAATAGGTATATAAGAATATTATAACAAATAATAAGTATTAAAATGTATAACACAATATCAATTTATATCCTTTAATCATGACAACAGTTAATTTATTTATTTGTAATTCGTAGTCATTTGTCATAAATGTTTTATATTTTGTAAATAGTTTTTAAATTATCCGAGCTATAGAAAATGTTAATTTTTTGTTGACTTAATTGTGAGTAGGTATAAAGGACAGGATATTCTGTATGTATGTAAAATTATATCCCATTAGTGTAAAATGTATATATTGTTGGTTTCTCTATAAATAGGTATATATAATAAATAACAAGTATTAAAATGTATAACATATAGACACCCTTTAGTAATGACAACAATTAATTTATTTCCGAATGTAATTCGTAGTCATTTGTAATAAATGTTTTATACTTTGTAAATAGTTTTTAAATTACCCTAACTAGTAAATGTTAGTTTTTTTTTGAATTAATTGAACTTATAAATGACATGCTATTTGGTAAGTACCCATAGTTATATCCCATAAGTGTAGGATGTATATGTATTGTTGGTTTATTTATAAATAGGTATATATAACAAATAATAAGTATAAAATAGTATAACATATTTATTTTTATTTTTATTACATAAATTCTCTAATAACGTTATCCTTTTATTTTCCTATACGGCTTCTCTTATTTTAGATTATTAGTGAAACGATGAATGTATTGATTTCACAATTATGTGTTTTTTTTTTGTGTCTCTGTACACGATAAGTAGTCGAAATAATTCTTCAATTTTTAACTTCATTATCTTGTTCGATGGGAAAGTGAATATTGTTGGTAAATTCGGGAGGTAGAATTTTAAAATTGCCAATAGTTAGAAAAACAACATAAAAATTAAGGAAAAACGGGAAATTATACGCAAAATCGGTTTTCCACAAAATCGATTTTGGTTTTTGGTGTATCTGTATAACAAATGAACGTGTACATGAAATTTTCACGGGTTGTTTATATTTGCATTTTCTATACACGATAAAATTTTCAAAATATTTTCATTTATTTTAAACTATTTAGAGACATTTTCATTTTCCATTTTTATTTAGTTTTTTTTCTAAAAATATCAATAAAATTTTATTTGTTGGTTAAAAAAGGTTGAAAAGTTAATAGAAGGCTAATAGTATATTGTTTCAAAGGTAGATGGAAAAAATTAAAAATTCTTAGTCACAGTTTTTTTTTATAAGTGTTTAAAGTTCAAAAATTGATAAAATATGGAAAAATCACGACAATTAGCAAATTGTTTTGAGTTAAGAATTCATAAAATTTTTTTTTAAAATCTAAGATTTGGAAATGTAATACAAGATTCCTTATAAGATTTCTACCTTTATTTTAAAAAAAAATGTCTAGAAGAAAGTCAAATTTTTACATCATTGGATATTCATTCGATTTCTCATGTACCGATTTTCTTATTTTGTTGTAATTCAAAAACGAATAAGTATCTATAACTGTAGCTACAATGAAAATTTCACTAATTGTAAATTTTATCAATTCTTATACATGATAAAATTTTCAAAATATTTTTACTTGTTTTGAGCTGCATACGGTCACTTTCATATTTCAATTTTTTAATTTTTTATGAATAACATTAAAGTTTTATTCGCTTTACTAAAAAGTGTAAAATTTTAATAAAAGGCTCCTGGTATATTGTTACAATAGCAGTTGAAAAATATTAAAAATACATGATCACAATTTTTCTTTATAAGCATGTAAAGATCGAATTTTGACAAAATTTATCAAATTTAAAATTGAATAATTATTTTGTATTTAAAAATGTATAAAATATACAACTTTTGTATCTAAAGTATGAAAATTTAAAACAAGATTTCACGTAAGTAGTTAATTCTATTACCAAAAAAACTAAAATATACATAAGCACAGTTAATTTGTATAGCCATTTTAAGTTCAAATTTGGACGAAATTACAGATTAAAAAACCTAGCATAACTATTTTAGTTATTTTGTTATGATTGTATAATATTATTTGTGGGTACTATTGAAACTTCTAAAGTATACTATTATATATCTATCATAGTATCACGGTTTGTTGTTGATTTATAACGAGTTATAAGTACCTAATGGCTATTGTGATATGATTAATTTGGAATTTATTACAGGTACCTATTATAGGTCATTTTTTTTTTTAATACCATAGATAAGTATATGTATGACTTATACCTAGACTGACATACCGTCTACTCTCAGAATTGTTGTTCTTATACAATGATATTATATCATTGAATCAAATTTAATACCATCAATTATACGCAGTGACCCACTTGTAAACTACTGTACCGCAGAACAATTTTTTTCAATGAATGTCAATAAAACTTTATTTGTTGGGTAAAAAAGCTTGAACATATTTTATACAAGGCTCCTACTATATTGTTACAATGACATTTGAAAAAGATTAAAAATCCATATTTAGTAACAGTTTTTATTTACAAGCATTTAAAGTTCAAATCTTGACAAAATACTTAAAAATCAAGAAAATTAGCAATTTATTTTGAGGTGAGAATTCATAAACTTTTTTTTTTTTTAACTAAGATTTGAAAATGTTATACGAAATTCCTCATAAGTTTGTCTACCTTTATCATAAAAAAAAAAATGTCTACAAACAAATCAAAGTAAATTTTTATGAGCGTTTGAACTTCATGTTTTTATACAATACCGGATATTCACTTAATTTCTCTTGTAGCGATCTTATTATTTTGTTCTTATTCAAAAATGCATAACTGTCGATACATGAAAATTTTACTGAATGTTTCTATTTTCATTTTCTATACACCATAAAATTTTGAAAATATTTTAACTCTTTTTGGGCTGTTTGCGAACATAGTCAGTTTTTAATTTTTTTAGTTTTTTTTCTATACATATCAATAAAATTTTATTTGTTGAATAAAAAAGCGTGAAAATTTAATGCAAGTCTCATTATATATTGTTATAATAATAGTTGAAAAATATTTAAAATACATTGTCAAAAATTTTTTTTTTTAGCATTTAAATTTCGAATTTTGACAAAATTTATAAAATTTATAATTTAATAATTATTAATTTGTAGTTAAAAATTTATAAAATATTCAACTTTATAGTTAAGGATTGAAAATTTAAAAAAAGGTTCCACGTAAATAGGTTATACCTATATAAATTACTTTATACACAATAATATCGTCAAATATACTTAGTAATATCATGGGCTGACTGACTGTTTTCGATCAGAATCGTTTTTCTTATCCAATAATATTATATCATTGAATTCATATTTAATATATTCAATTAAAGTGACCCATTTGTAATCTACTAAACAGCAGAGCAACATCCACTAACCCGCTTTTTAATACTTAAAATCTCGTAAATCCCAAAAAAAATTCAAACTATTTTTATTTTTATTACATAAATTCTCAAATAACGTTACTCTTTTATTTAAATTACTCTTATTATTAATACTTATAATCTCATTAAACTATTAAAAATTAAATTTAAAAAAAACCTGAATTACCAACTCTTAATCAGATTACACTCTATAACTTTATTATTTTCTTACACGTCAATTAACATAACTTAATAACTGTAGTAACCAAACAAAAATCTAAACTAATCACAAACACTTGTAATTTATCTTTTAACTATTTAAGAGCATCAGCGCCTATACCAATATGAATAGTCGATGGTACGACCAGTTAAATATAAGATATCCAGGAAGAATCGTAGAATCCTATATAGATATAAATACCGTAGCAAGGAGTAGATATGTAGACATCAGAATCTTAAATATATATAAAATGATTCCATTTCAGTTATAATTATGTCTTATTGTCTACTAAACACTTACAAATAATAATACTCACAAATATGTAAAATATGTTAAATTATAGTCCAGCGTGTTTCTTAAACCTTTTTTATGTCCACTTTTATCGTGGAATCCCTACTTTTTTTGTTGCTTTTTAGCTTTTTTTATTTAGCTTTCAACAGCAAGTTAATATAGCTCGACAATTAGAACCTATACTATTTGTTTCAATAGTCTGAGTGTGTCATTCTATGTATTGATTCTTTGTAATAAAAATTATAATAATTTCATTTTATAATAATGTGTACACACTATTCTGTATTTAATTCAAAAAATATTGAAAATAACAGACAATAACAGGACTTCTAAATTTTAATTTTAATAATAGATGAGTGAAATTACTTTTTATTATTACAAATTTTCTTAATATTGGACTTTATTGATAAAAGTTGTTCTCATATTAGGTTCAGCATCAAGTCTGTTGCGGTATTTGGTCTTTGTTGGTACATAGGTGGTGAACCCCGTTTCACACATATAAGTTTTTGTAAATGGAAAAAGTGCCGACACGGCCTTTTGTGACGATTGAGGATATTCATCTTTTTAAAAACATTAACATTTAACACAAAGATCGATTTAAAATTTTGTAAAAAAGCCCTTAAGTTTCGCGGTATCCTTGGGGAACCCTGAGGTTCGCGGAACACTGTTTAAGAAACTCTGCATTATACTATAATATATGACTGTATCTTAGTCATACGGAGTCCAGGAGTCGTAGTGTGTATTGAGGAGTAAGGTGCACAGTGAACTAACTTACTTATACATGCTTTATATTGGCCATAGGTATTGCAACTATGTGTTTGTTAATATTATTGTGTCATCAGAAATTATTGATCGTGCATAATAACTATATACAATAAGTATAATAACTAATAAGTAATAATAATGCCAGTATTGAGCCAGCTATATGCTTGTATAGCGCACGTACACATGCACACAGTCAGTAGTGTGTGTCGTGCACACAGTCAGTAGTGTGTAACATGCACACAGTCAGTAGTGTGTATCAGTACTTAAAGCCAACTACAAGAGATAATGGATGGCCATTGCTGACATTTCAAACAAGGCCAATAATATGCCAGTATTGAGTTTACGTTTGCACAACTACGATAAATCGCTACGCTCAGAATATAAAATAGTATTTTAAAAATACTACTTATATAAAAGTGCTAAATCCAAATTTGTGGTTTTCGATCTAGGTCGACAAAGTTAGGTACACCGGTCACCAACGCCGATTTTCCGGTGATCTAAGGTAGGTAGACTAAAACCTAGGTACACCTGTATTATAGAGCTCTATTTTATATTTTTTCATTTTTTTTCGGGACGAAGATTGATTATACAGCCAGTACAACATAATATTATATTGATATATATAGGTCGCTACAGCAGTATTTTTGTTGACGTTGCGTTTCCAGGAGGGACCGATTGTTTATCTATCACAAAAGTCTATCGAAAAATCTTACTAATTTTGTTAATTCGAGAACCTAGTTCAGTTTGTAAGACGGGAACTGTTATATTATTATCAAGCAATAATAAAAACGGTAATAATAAAATCATGGATATGACTATGTTAAGCGACGCGTGGTACACGACGTTTCCTCTGGACGACTTCAACTCAGTTCTACGCATGATATGTGACGAGTTAATGAAGATGACTTTAGCAGCCTGGACGTTATGTTTGGTTCTATTCTCCACGGTCAGTGTAACCGGCAGGTTGTCCGAATGCGCACTGAATATGGCCATCAAAGAGCCGGCTCCCAAAGCCTGTCCACGGCAACAGACAGCGTTCAAGACATTTTACAACAATCGTTGGATCCGCACGGCATACACTGCCATAATCGCAATGCTGTTATTGTGCATGTACGTCAGTACCGTCGTCAGGCCCGTATATTTGCTAGTCGCCGGGTCGGTCTTGTCGACAGTCGGTTTGTGCGGGTCCTTAATCGTAGCAGTCCTGAAAATGTGTGTTCGCTGGGGAAAAGTGTTTTTATAATCTATCATGAATCATGATATATTATTTTTTAACTCTATGTAACTTTTAACGACAATATAAGTTATAACGATGATTTGCAACAAAAACGTAGTTTTTTATCTTACGTGTATTGAAAAATATGGGTACAAGTCTACAACACGATTCCGTCAGTGGCGAATTTATGGAAGGCGGGTCAACTGATGCAAATGCCCTGGGCACCAAATTACATATGAGAACCTTTTTAAAAAAATATTTTTTTTTTTTAACTAGCTAAAATTACAGCAGCAGACATACGGATATCTGCTGAGCTTTTAAAAAATGAATACAATACAGATTTGGGAACTTAGTTTTCCAATGAATGTATTCATTTTAGATTCTGAGCGGAGCTAGGAAGCTAGTGGTTTTACAATGGTGTTTATTTTTTATATCCTATATACAAAATTTCTACCAGAAGAAGTGCTTCAACTTCAACATAATGGTATCTTAATATACTTTAGAAAATTGGATCAAGATGGTACTTTAGAGAGGTCATTTTTCGATTTTATCAATAGTTATTTAATTCCAGGGGAAAAACCACCTAAAAATTAAGAAAAACCGTTAATAATGGGATTTTAATTTCTAACGCTTTGTTTACCACAATAGAAATGAATAAAAAAAAAAATAATATAATATTAAATTAACTTACATGATATCCCTATGATTAATTTAGCCGGTTGATTAAAATTCTTTTTGTGGAATCAACAAGGAAATGTTAGATTGTCAGAACAGTCTTTTATGTTAAATTCACAGTAAGATAACATTAAAATATATATATATGAAATTGTCATTATTTTATTAAAAAAGGATAAAAAATTAGTTTTACATAATAACTATAAAATTTAATTGTGCAATTTTTATTTGTATTGTATATATCATACTTATAACCACCCACCTAAAATATGTATAGTTATAGCTATGTTAGTCGTCAGAATATAATATATAAGAAAACAAGCATTAGAACTAGTAAGAATGTACCCTGAAGATTTAGAAACAGAATTTGTCGAGGAAATTATTCAATTCAAAAAACATATTTCAAATTTACCAGAAGGAATGAAAAACATGCAAGACATGTTAAATTACCTTAATACTCCATCACTTAATATGACTTTCCCTAATGTTGAAATTTCCCTTAACATTTTTGTTGGTATGCCATGCCCTAACGCGAGTGTTGAAAGATCTTTCTCTGTACTCAAGAGAGTTAAGAATTATTTACGTTCATCTTTTGCAAATGAAAAAACATCGGCATTATCTATTTTAAGCATTGAAGATGAAGTTGTCCGAAGCATAGATTGGAATGATTTTGTTGAAAAGTTTGCAAAACTTAAAGCTAGGAAAAAATCTTTTTTATAACCTAAATAAGTTTTATACATAATGTTCAAATGTTGGAAATATTGTAAAATATTATATCTACCTGTTATAAAATTATTAAAACATTTATAATTATAAAAATTAACTAGTTGTTCTTATAAACATAAAATTTATAAAGTACTTTGAATATTTATGTTAACATATTATTAATAACTCATAATTATATGTACTTTATGAATAAAAAGATTTTTTATAATTTGGATACACTGTTATGTGTAAATAGTGATAATACTCGTATATTTCTTTCTATAATGTACTCAGAATAATGAAATCAGTTTCAACTTCAAAAAATCATAAAAACAAATTAAATACATTTATATAAATAAAATTACAATAATAATAATAATAAAATAAGCAGGAACCTTTAATGAATAAGTATTAAACATATTTAAGGTAAGAGGTTTATTAAAAATATGAAGTCAATATTTTTTTATGGAAGGGCGAGGGGTGTCAAATATTGTTACCCTAGGGCGTTATTGGTGGTTAGGACGGCACTGCAAACAAATTGTAGTTATTTATCTTTAATATCTATATTGTTAACTTGTTATTTTGAAAAAAATGTGATTTCAATGACAAACAAATCGCTTGACGACTAGATTGTTGAAAATAAATACTTGCAATTTTAATACACTTAATAAACAAAACGATGAGATCCGCGTTGCCAATTAAAATAATATATTACATGCGTCGTACTATACGCCACGTATCTCTTATTGCAGCAGTGTTTGACATTACGTGATCGTGATGACATCTCTGCAGGTGGTGACAGCGACTACTTCGGTGGAAACGGCAGAGTCGTCGACTGCGAGTACGACGGAGACGGTGGTGGCAGCTGCGGCATCAACGGCAGAGGTAATCGCTGTGCCGCCGTCAGTTGTGTCGGCGGCTTCCATTTTGCCACTGAAGCCGATCGTGGCCATGCAGATCTCCCTGCAAATCCGTCGCTCCCTGGAATGCCCAATATGTCTGACCATGACGTCTGTCATGTCAAGATGCCCCAACGGACAAGCCATGTGCCAGTAGTTTATGCTGACGCTGTTGAACACCAGCACTACCAATACCCTGTGTCTGGTGTGCCGGACGTCGATGGTGCAGTCCTCGAGCATGTCGGCCATGTTTATTAAGCTGGGTGAGGCGACTCCGTTGTTGAAGGTGGCGTGCTCAAACTGGTCTTTTGGGTGTTCCCGTTCGACACGTTAACGAACATGAGTCCGTGTGTCGGTACGTGCCGAATGTGCAGTGTCTGGTACACGTATACCAGTGGGTCGGAATATACGAACACGTGTTCAAAGTGCATCCCGGTGTCACCGTTGAGTCTTCGGTAACGATAGTATTATTATTAATAATATTAATATGACGATATCAAGACTACTCTACGCTCAGTGTATGACTGTAGCTCACGGCTGTATGTAGTATGGTTGCGTTTCGTCATGTATAGTTATGCATCCATTATAATATTATGTTCTTATCAAAAGTATTCAAAACCTAATGTCTTAGATAAAATTATTAGCTAAGCCTAATGTACTAAAGGCACTTAAAGGTACTAATGTACCCCACTGTAAATAGTACAGCTGTGCCGCAACTTTATAATTATTATGCACACAACTCAAGCCAACGCTCTCAATTGCTGTCGTACTACTGGAAATCATTTTTTTTTGCTTTTGTGATTGCCTAAGAATACATATTTCCCCAACTGTTATTATTATTAGTACACTATAAACAATAATATTAACAATATTATGTTAATCGAAAAAACACCGTTTTCCCGCTTCTTTTCAGATAAACCTGCTGAACGTGACCGATCTCCATACAATTACAAGGAACCAGGGACGTACCTGGTCCGTTCTGCATACCGCATAATGTGGTTGCGGGAGATGCGCTCGCGGATCTAGACGGGACTGTTCATGGTGAAGAGCACTCGGGACGGCCAACACTCGACATCGAACCTCAACCAATATCGAGCTAACCCAAGACCACCGGAATTCTTGTACCGTATCACGTTCGACGGCAACAATCGGACCAGGACCAAGATTAGAACGAAGGTTCTGGGTTAGGTCTAGTGGAGGACGGCCCTGAAGGAGGGCTGCCGGTGTGTATTCTTTCCCAAAGCGTACTCCATGTTGCAGTCCAGGGTCAGTCGCATGGAGATAAGTTGGTGGTTCCGTCGGTACGATAGCAACAGCTATTTTCAGTGGTCGAATTATTAGGTACACTGTGGAAATGACTATAATGATGTAGTCAGGTCCGAAGCCATCCCTCCTCGACTGAACAGCACACGCCAAATGGTTTTGCCTTTATTTTTTAAAGTTATTATTACATACGATGACTGTTGATACGGTGTAATAATAACTTTAAAAAATAAAGACGAAACCATTTGGCGCGTGCGGTTCAGTCGAGGAGGGATGGTTTCGGACCTGACTACATCATTATAGTCATTTCCACGGTGTACCTAATAATTTAAACACCGAAAATCAGTGTATGTGTGTGTGTGTGTGTGTGTGTGTGTGTGTGTGTGTCCAAAATTGTAGGTATTAAATATCAATCGTTGTCATCATCAAAAGCTCACCGTCGCAGGTCAACCCATTCACTACGAGATCGTGTGTGCGTGGGATGTTTGAATAATTATTTGTTTTTAAGTAATTTGTTTTTAACTGATCTATAAATGAATGTTATATTTTAACGAAATATATGGGTGGTAGTGTATATACTGTATACACTCACATTTGACTTTTTGGTAAGCCGCTACGTTTATAATTATTAAATTAGTGTCTGATTAATTTTGCTGTAGCCACTTTCGCAATGTCAAAATTCACTATTACACTCAGTGGCGCCAAACACGTACTTCGGGTAGTTCAATTGAACTACCTTGAAAATTGGGTGGGTGTTGATGTGTGATGTGTAAAGTAATAGAGTACAACTGAATCGTTCTGCTTTAATTTTATTAAACACAAGAACATTGTTCAACTATTTTATACCTATATAATTAGTTAAGCCCATTTCACAGTTGAATACGGGCATAGAGTATGCCGTGTGTACTGACTATTGAATATATTAATAAAATAAATAATAAATAATTAATAATTAATATTAATAATAGACGAATCAAGAATTATTATTTAGTATTCTATGAATTGTGATTAAGACGTATACTGGCCCCTGGGTAAAAATTAAAATTATATTAATATATTACATTATTACTGAATACTGATGTCTAATAGTACTTAGGGTCTCAAACTGTGGTGTCACCCGTATTGGACAATACGCGGTAAACCAACAATACGCCTTACCTTCGTATTCTCTAGTTAATGACACTAAAATTAATTAGAATGGCACTGTTAACTTCGAGGTACGATGATATGTGCTTGTAAATTCTTAGTTCGTTCCCATCTAGTTGAAATGACTCAAATATTACATATACGTTTTCACTACCTATTAAGTTTAATAGAACTTTATTGACACATAGTAAGTATATCCCGGCGCTGCTCCAATAAAATGTAAGAACTTAAGAACGACTGAAATTATTATAAACTCGGGTTTTCAAGTCGGAAATACTTTTATTATATTATAAAACAAACATAAATAAATCACTTACTAAATTCAGAATGACTAGCCCGTACAACGATCGACGTTTCACACGTACAACCGTCGTACTCGCCCTACGTCCTCGCCGAATCACTCAGCGACAACGGTACTCTGTGCCTGCTCTAAGACGGTGTTATATAGTAAAATATTGTTGTTGCCTCAGCACATATTGCCACAACTGACCTGACCTATGTCAATAATTTACAATTTAAAATATTCCCACCTATATTACATATATATTAAATTATAATATTTTGACGACTGTCTACAATATACGACAAAACTCAAAAACGGTTCTACTGTTCGCGGATTTTACTACAAGCACCGTACTACGTGTTTTTCCTCACTAATCCAATAATGTATGTTAAACCTGGGCTGCAGTCAAACCGTTTCATGTTCAACCAACGGCGAAACCGTCGAGTGCAGTGCTGTCCGTTTAAATCAATTATAGTACCTAGTTTGGTTGTGGACGTAATAACCATTCGGATAAAACCGTTCTGACTCGATGGCGAAAATACCGCAGTGTGGCCCGACCCTAACACCCTAGAAATATAGAATATAAAAATAATAAAATGAATAATATCTGGTACTGTGTATGCACTATGCCGTATGGAATTCCCATATAAACATAACTAGCGATTACATTAACATAAACGATAAACATAAGATAAAAAAAGGTGGGCAAGTAGGTGTCGCTCTGCTGTACAGTAGGTTACAAGTGGGTCATTGTATAATGGATGGTATTAAATTTGAATTCAATGATATAATATCATTGTATAAGAAAAACGATTCTGAGCGGAGACGGTATGTCCTTCTAGGTATAAGACATATTATATACATATCTATGGTATTAAAAAAAATTGACCTATAATGAATTCCAAATTAATCATATCACAAAATCCATTAGGTACTTATAACGCGTTATACACCAACAACAAACCCTGATACTATCATAGATATATATAGTAGATTACTTTAGAAATTTCAAGTACCCACGAATAATATTATACAATCACAACAAAATAACTAAAATCGTAATTCTTGGTTTAAATATGAAATTTTGTCTAAATTTGAAATTAAAATGTCTGTAAAAAATAAGTGTGTTTATATATTTTTTAGATTTTTTGGTTACAGTATGAATTATTTAAGAGAATCTTTGTTTTAAATTTTCAACTCTTAGTTATAAAAACTGAACATTTTATAATTTTTTAATTCCAACGATTGATAATTTTCGAGATTTTGATAAATTTTGTCAAAATTCCAACTTTAAATGCTTATAAAAAAAAATCGTGCCTATGTATTTTTAAAATTTTTCAACTGATATTGTAACAATATATAAGAAAGCTTGTATTAAATTTTCAGACTTTTTGGCCCACCAAATAAAATTTTATTGACAATTATAAAAAAAAAAAACTAAAATAATTTAAAACTGAAAATGTCCGTAAACGGCTCAAAAAGAGTCAAAATATTTTCAAAATTGTATGGTGTATAGGAAATGCTAATATAAACATTCAGTGAAATTTTCATGTATCTACAGTTATTCGTTTTTGAATTACAATAAAATAAGGAAATCGCTACATGAGAAATCGAGTGAACATCCAATGTTGTAAAAATTTGAATTTCAAACGCTCATAAAAATTTAACTTGACTGTCCGGTAGAGATTTTTTTATTGATAAGGTAGATAATCTTATAAGGAATCTTGTGTTTCATTTTCAAATCTTAGATTTAAAAAGAAAAATTTTTACGAATTCTTAACTCAAAATAATTTGCTAATTTTCGTGATTTTTCCATATTTTGTCAATTTTTGAACTTTAAATGCTTATAAAATAAAATTGTGACTAAGGATTTTTAATATTTTTCATCTGCCTTTGAAACAACATATTAGGAGCCTTCTATTAAATTTTCAAGCTTTCGCAAAAAACAAATAAAATTTTATTGATATTTTTAGAAAAAAAACTAAAAAAAATGGAAAATGGAAAATGTCCCTAAACAGTTCAAAATAAATCAAAATATTTTGAAAATGTTATCGTGTATAGAAAATGCAAATATTAACAACCAGTGAAAATTTCATGTATATACGTTCATTTGTTTTAGAGTTACACCAATAACCAAAATCGATTTTTTGGAAAACCAATTTTGCGTAAAAATTCCCGTTTTTCCTTAATTGTTATGTTGTTTTTCCCGGCGCTTGTGAAAACTACTGGGAAATTTATACTTTTGACCCCCCAAAGTACCAACTAGATTCACTTTCCTATCAGAAAAGGTACTATTGAAGAAAATCGAAGCACTTTTACTGTCCCAAAACGTGATGACAGACACAAAAATAATAAATATAAAAATATAAAAAAAAACACACATCATTGTAAAACCAATACATTCATCGCTCCGCTCAGAATCTAATAAACGACGCGTCGACATCGACATCGACGCAGCACCACCGCACCACTATTTTAACAATAATACCTATCGCGTATTCGCGTTGTTCACCGTTCGTCGCTCACAATGTTTGAGAACTACCTACCTAGTATTATT